TATTATTAGAGAATATATTTCAGAGAAATATTCTTTATTTTGTTGATAAAATATTTACTATTAATGGAAATTAATATTAGTGGAGAATATATTTCAGAGAAATATTCTTTATTTTGTTGACAAAACTCCTTTTAGATATCACTTCTACATCGCATTCGAGAATTCGATATGCAAAGACTATGTCACAGAAAAACTTTGGAATCAGGGATATGGACGTGATATTATACCGATTGTCTTGAGTGTAGGAGATGCGATTTTATAAGGGTAGTAAGAGTGCTGATGAAAAAAATACAAATTGCAGAGAGCAGTAGTTGAAAAAGTTGTGCCTCCACGTTCATTTATTGCTGCTGACGACTTCAATGACACCAAAGGCCTGGCTGACTATCTTCACTACCTCATGAAAAACAAAACCGCTTATGCGTAAGTCTTATGTTGAACTATGGAAGTGACTGGGGTAAAAAGTTTCGAGAAAAAAAGAATTATCTCATCATGATGTATATAAATTCGCCGTTTAGTTATCCCACCCTCACAGTAAGATTTTGGAAATCAAAAACTATCATGTACGTTTTTCAGTCTCTTAAAGATGCTTACTCCTGTAGGGATCAAAGATCTCATTTTAAAGATAGATGTAACCTTAAGCTACTTTATGTATTACAACAATTTGCATTTTTAATACTTGATCTACGATTTTTCTTAACTAACCTCTTTCAGAGAATATTTTCAATGGCGAAGGGAGTATAAAGTTGTTTTCCTTGATGGTAATGTTCACGACGCACTGGAGCGACCGTGGGGATTCTGTCAAGTAAGCATTACAAGCTTTACATATGTTATAAACGAAACATAAGGGAATTATTTTCAGATCTGTCGACTTTTGTGGGAAAAACCTAGACCGCATTTTTCCATAGAAAGTAAGTCAATTTAAATTTGTGCTTGAATTATCCAATAAAAAAACTTAACTGCTAGAATCGAAAAGTCCTAGATGTAGTTCTTATTTTTGTCTAATAAGCACAATCACCATTGAAAGAGCGTGCTTTCTAATCTAGAGCTTTAGACCCTGAAAGAAAATGGACCCCGTTTGGTTTTTGAATATACAGTTTTGTAGTAAAATGATCTACGTTAATTTATTTGGGAGGCCAGCTCTAAATCTGTTGCAGACTTCGCCAAGTACTGGGGTGGATCATGCGAGAAAGATGGAGAATTGGTGAGAAGACTTGTCGGCAACAAACGGAATTTAACAACAGGTACAATAAATTTTGACGTGGAAAGAACATTAACCACCTTTCACAAAAAACATATTTGAAAATTACAATGAGCTTTAATGCAGGAAATCAGTTATGGGGAGTGTTCGATGCTAAATTACCTCTATATCTCTTTGAAAGCAATTTTTTCTCATTTCTCCCAAATCCACTCGATTTCGTTCAAGCCTTATACTTTCAGTAAAATTAACGAGCTGTATTCATTTTAGCGTACTACGTACAAAGTAAAT